TTCTAAAGTAAAATCTACAAAACAACTTTTCAAAAAAATTCAAGCTTCTATATGCCCTTCTTCCCCTATAGGTATCCTTTTTATGACTTTTTTTCATTTTTTAAAAAGACAAGCAAATATAATTGTGTACACACACACACACATATATTCCCACCCCATGCCTTTAAAGATAAAAGATAGCTTACTATAAACACCAACACAGCTGTTTTTCCTTTGGTGATTTTTTAAATTAGCAATATATTCTGAGATCCCTCCTTTTTTTTTTCTTTCTTATGAATGGCTTATTTCACTTAGTGTAATGTTTTCAAGGCTCACCCATGTTGTAGCATGCATCAGAATTTCATTCGAGGCTGAATAATATTCTTTTGTATTTATATGTCACATTTTATTTATCCATTCATCTCTTCAGGAACATTTGGGTTGTTTCCACCTTATGGCTATTGTGAATAACTGCTATGAACATTGATGTACACATATCTGTTTGAGTACCTGTTTTCAATTCTTTCAGATATATACCTATATATCTTTCAGATATATACCTAGTCAAATTGCAAGATCATATGGTAATTGTTTAACTTTTTGATGAACCACTAAACTGTTTCCCACAGTGGCTACATAATTTTACATTACCATCAGCAATACATGATTTTCCACATTCTTGTCAATACTTGCTATTTTCTACTGTTTTTTTTTTTTTTGCTTTGCTTTTTTTTTTTTTTATTTCAGCATATTATGGGGGTACAAACGTCAAGGTTACATACATTGCCCTTGTCTCCCCTCCCCCCTCGAGTCAGAGCTTCAAGCGTGTCCATCCCCCAAATGGTGTGCATCACACTCACTATGTAATTATATACCCATCCCCTCCTCCCCCCTGCCCCACATCCGACAAACGTGGTTTTTTTAAACATTTTGGTTACTTTTTATATCTTTGCCTCTCCCTAGCAAGGGTTAGAGGTATGCCCTTCTCCTTCACAATGTTCACCACATCTCTCAGATGTGGGACTACCCCTCCAACCCCGGAATCCCTGGTGAACACCACCACCCTTTGAGCACCATAGTGTTAATCAGTCAATACCAATTTGATGGCGCTTATATTATTTGCAGCTTCTTATAACCAGCCAGAACCACTCCATAGTCAGTGGTCTTTTATCAGGAGAAAGTTATTGAACTTTCAAAGCTGTAGTTATGGCTTGTGAAACAGGGGAACTAGTTAATCAGCATCTGACCATAAATGAGCTGCAATTGTTTTCATATTGCGTATCTTGAGGCCAGTGATTGTTTAGCTGCTAGAGAAAAAAGAAAAACCTTGTGGCAGCTAGAATATAGTTTATTTTTTACCTCTAGGGGTGCACGACTTAACCCTTGCTTGACATGACCTTAGATGTTGTTTATAATTTAGTATCTTATTGACACAGTATGTTCTGTCTTATGATCTCTATTTTAACATTAATCCTGGTCAGTTGTTGTGTCTAACCACAAAAGGGAGGGAGTACAATGAAGCATGTCTGACCTCCTATCCCATCATGGCCAAGAACTCAGTTTTTAAGGTTTCTCTGGGGTCCCCTTGGCAAAGAGAGGGTCAGTTAAGTCAGCTGGAGGTTTAGTTCTCACAAAAAATAAAAATAAAAAAAGAAACCTTGCTGGAATTTTAGAAGTTGTGTTAAGACTGTATTTATTTAGGGATAATTAATATTGGTATTATAGTTTGAGTCTTCAAATCCATGAACACGGTCATTTATTTAGATTTTCTTTGATATTTCATCAATGTTTTGTTACTTTTAGCACGAGTCCTTGTTCTGTTAGATTTACACCTAAGTAGTTTTGATTTTGAGCAATTACCAATTTTGATTTTGGTTTCCATGTATTTGTTGCTAGTATATAAAAGTACAGTTGATTTTTCTCTATTACCTTGTATCCTGAGATCTTGCTGAATTCACTTCTTAGGTCTGGAAATTATTTTGTAGATTCCTTGGGATTTTTTAGACATTTTTCATCTCATTTAAAAAAAGGTTCACTGATTCAAAAAATTGTTATAATAGTTTACTCTATGCCAAATAGTGTTCTAATTGCTAGATGTTGAAGTGATTAAGAAAATTAAGTTTTTTGACCTCATGAAGCTTAGATTCTAGAGGACGGAAAAAGGCTGTGAGCAATTAATTAAATAATAAATACGTTAATTTCATATAGTGGTTAAGTACTATAAAGAAATAAACAGAACAACAGAATAGAGTAGTAGATAATGTGGAACTGACCCCCAGAGGAGATAAGTACTGAGCAGATATTGAAATTTCAGGAGTCAGAAAAGAAAGTTTCAGTAAGTACAAAAGTCCTAAGATATGAAAGAGTCTGACCTAAGAAGGAACCATAAGGCCTGTGTGGCTCACATAGTAAGGAGGACAGTGGTAGGAAAAGACAAGAAGCAACTTTATGTAGGGCTTTAAAGTCAGTGGTAGCCATTTGCACTTTATTCTAAATAAAATGAGAAGTGATGGAGAATTTAAAATAGGATAGTGAGATTAGCATGGTATTCACTATAAGTTATTTTAAAAAAAAAAAACAAAAACCCCATATATCAAAGCTATTGGTGCATTTCTTGGCAGTTTTTTTCTTTACAATTTAAAAAACATGTATGTACATAAACTGCATAGATGAAAGACAAGGATTATTTGCAATTACTTCACATGATGGTTTATTGATCACAGCTGTCTCTATATAGTGTGTTTGCTTTTGATTCTATAAGGTAATATAAATTTCCTAGGGGGAAATTTCCTTTATTATAACCTCATAATAAAGCTATTGCAGTTGACCAACTCTAGCTACTGCTGCTGGAACTGCCTTTTCTCTTTGCTTATCACAAACACACTTTTCATCTTAATGGCATGGTGGAAATAATAGAGCCTCTAGAATCAGACTTGGATATTTATTTCATCTCTCACGGAGTCAGTCTTATAAAACGCAGCTATTAACATCTACTTCCAAAAGTCTAGGGGTTTTTTTGTTGTTTGTTTGTTTTTTTGAGAGTCTCAACTCTGTTACGGAGGCTAGAGTGCCGTGGTGTCAGCCTAGCTCACAGTAACCTCAAACTTCTGGGCTCAAGCGATCCTTCTGCCTCAACCTCTGAGTAGCTGGGACTATAGGCATGTGCCACCATGCCCCACTAATTTTTTTTTTTCTTTATATTTTTAGTTGTCCGATTAATTTCTTTCTATTTTTAGTAGAGAGAGTCTTGCTCTTGCTCAGGCTGGTCTCAAACTCCTGAGCTCAAATGATCCACCCACCTTAATCACCCAGAGTGCTAGGACTACAGGCGTGAGCCTCCACGCCCAGCCCAAAAGTCTGTTTTAAGAACTTAAAGTATAATATATTGAGTTTCAACACTTGGGTGGTGCTAAATAAATAATTTCCTATCTTTTGCTTTTTCTCTTTTATCCCATTCTTAGCTCCCATTCTCAGATCTAAGATATTTATAAAACCATTTAATTAGCAATGGGGGCACCGTAGGGTAAATATATAAAAATCTTAAACCCCATAACCATGGCATCAGCCTGGTTCACAGCAACCTCAAACTCCTGTGCTCAAGTGATCCTCCTGCCTCAGCCTCCCGAGTAGCTGGGACTACAGGCATGCGCCACCATGCCCGGCTAATTTTTTCTCTATATATTAGTTGGCCAATTAATTTCTTTCTATTTATAGTAGAGACAGGGTCTCCCTCTTGCTCAGGTTGATTTCGAACTCCTGAGCTCAAACAATCTGCCTGCCTCAGCCTCCCAGAGAGCTAGGATTACAGGCGTGAGCCACCGTGCCCGGCCAAGAAGTACTTTAAAAATACAGAATCATGGCACTTGTGGAAGCCTGACATTATGTTATCTGCATCATACAGACTGAAAATAGAACATTCTATTCTGTCAGACATCTTATTTTACAACATTAAATTTCTCAAGACCTAATATTAGCAGAAAGGGGAAAATGTTATACATAATTCAAAGTAAACTATCAAGTTTTTAACTAACCAATATTTTTTCTGTCTTCTTTGGAGGAATCCACTGCTACTATTCAACAATCTTCATTCATCCTTAGCTCCCTAGCAAAAGGCTAATTCCAAATCTTCTCCACTCTACCTCAAATTCACAATCCTACCATTCCCTCCTAATACTTTACCTTCTCCATTATTTCTGTCTCCCAATGCTGCACTATTCTAAGTCAAACTTCTCTGTAGCTTTACCCACTACCTATTTGAAAAAGGAAGTTCCAAAGTCATTCCTGTCCTCAAACATGACTATCTTTTAAATCCATCAATAAACTTCATTCTTTTACCTTCATTCTTTCTCCAAATCAACTCAGTCTCAACTTCCCCTTTACCTAGCTCCTATCTCCTCTAAATTGCTATTCTTCTTAAGATTAATTTAATCAATGTGTTTTTTTAATATATATATATATTAGTATAATGTTTGTAACTTGGTAAAAAAAAACACTAGTAAACTGAAACAACTTAAAATTTTGTTCATTTTTCTACTGGATATTTTAAATTAACTATTTCTTCAAAGTTGTGTCTGTACTACAGGCCATTAACATCTGATTTCACAACTACATTAACCAAGCCCAAATGGGGTCATAATTAGGCAATATTTTACAATGTAAAGACCTCCTGATTAAAGTTTAATTCTTGTTGTGAATCTGGAATTTAACTCTCTAATGAAAGAGTACAAGTACGGCTGCATCTGTTCTTCCTTGTTATAAACCATCTTCAATGTTAGCATAGGTATACATTACATTTTGATATTTTCACCTGGCTATTTTCAAAATACTCTTGTATACAATGCAGGCATAAAAATACTTTCATTCTTTCTCACCTGACATTTTCCTTACTCCCCTCCCATTTTTTGGACAGCTTATAAACTTTTGATATGATACAAAAAAGCTGACTAGCGGGTTCTTCGCTAGAGGCCTGCTACTGACATTGATCGTCTCTAAACGTCTGACGCCGCCAGTGCAGTTCTTACTTTAACAAGGTGAAAAGCAGGCACTCTAGAGCATTTCTTGAAGGACGAGCCAGGACATTAAATGACTTCTCAATTCAAATCTTGAGTTTTCCTTTCTTTCTCCCCGCATGCTCTTTTCCTTGGACTTTACATAAACAGCACTTTCTTGAGTTTTCACGAGTAACCTGCCCCAGACAAAAACGACGGAAATCAGCCGCGGGAATCCTCGAGTCCCAACCACCTACACGGCGTCCACAGGGCCGCTCTGCCAGGAAGACCGCCTGTGACTCGACACACGCTCCCCAGTGACGCGAGTGTCGCCGCGTGACTCGACTGGAGGCGGCCGCGCCTGGCAGCGAATGGGCGGGGCGGGCGGGGGTCGGGGGCCGAGCGCAGTGGGGAGGGAGTCTACGAGTTGGAGTGCAAGAGGAGGAGCGGGCAGGGAGGAAGGAAGAGGGAGGTGGGGAGGCAGGAAAGGAGCGAGCAGCGAGGAAGGGAGCGGGGAAGGAAGACGGGAGCGGGGAGGGGCGGGCCTTTCGGGAGGTTCCTATGTTCTTCACTTCCTGTTTGCCGGCTCTTCTGAATCCGGGTCAAGGGTGTTCGCTTCGGTCTCTTCTCCCCGGCGGATCCGGCACCCTTCGTGACAGCGCCTCCTGACTCAGCCCAGGGCCGGTTCTTTCTCAAGACTTGCTGAGCCTGGACGCCCGCACCTGGCCCGGAGCACGGAGGGCGCCTCCTCCACCTACTGGCTCGCAGCCCCGGGCCCGGAGCGCCCGCAGACGCTGCTGGAGGGGCTCCCGCTGGCCCCTCGGCGCTGATGCTGAGAGGGAGCGAGGGCCCGGGGCGGCGGCGGAGTACAGGCCTCAGGCGCCTTAGGCCAGCCGTGGGTGGTGTCGGTTCTTACGCTCCCCAGGCTCGCCAGCTCCCGCGCCGGCTTGGATGGGCCCCCCTACCCGATAAATGTGGCTGCTGAGGCGGCAGTGGCGGTGGCCGGTCACGCTGCTGCTGCGCTCCAAGTTCATCTCCGCCCCGGGGCTCTCCTGCTCCGGCTGGGGGCTGCCGCCGTCCGCTCCTTACCCCCTGGCCCTAGCCTGGCAGCGAGGCGACAATGGACAAGATCCTGGAGGGCCTGGTGAGTTCTTCACATCCGCTGCCGCTAAAGCGGGTGATTGTGCGGAAGGTGGTGGAATCGGCGGAGCATTGGCTGGACGAGGCGCAGTGCGAGGCCATGTTTGACCTGACGACCCGGCTCATCCTGGAGGGCCAGGACCCTTTCCAGAGGCAGGTGGGGCACCAGGTGCTGGAGGCTTACGCACGGTACCACCGGCCAGAGTTTGAGGCCTTCTTCAACAAGACCTTCGTGTTGGGGCTCCTTCAGCAGGGCTACCACTCGCTGGACAGAAAGGACGTAGCCATTCTGGACTACATTCATAATGGCCTGAAGCTGATTATGAGCTGTCCGTCGGTGCTGGACCTCTTCAGCCTGCTGCAGGTAGAGGTGCTACGGATTGTATGTGAGAGGCCAGAGCCGCAGCTCTGTGCCCGCCTGAGCGACCTTCTGACCGATTTTGTGCAATGCATCCCCAAAGGGAAATTGTCCATCACCTTCTGTCAACAGCTGGTTCGAACCATAGGCCACTTCCAGTGCGTGTCCACCCAGGAGAGAGAGCTGCGAGAATATGTCTCTCAGGTGACAAAAGTGAGTAACTTGCTGCAGAACATCTGGAAGGCTGAGCCTGCCACACTGCTGCCTTCTCTGCAAGAAGTTTTTGCAAGCATCTCTTCCACAGGTAAGGATCCTTATATTTAAGGAGACTAGCATGGAAAAATTTTTTTTCGGCATATTATGGGGGTACAGATTTTAAGGTTTCAATAAATGCCCTTCCCCCCCTCCCCCCACAAGGGGGGGAGGTGGTCTGAGTCTCCAGCATGACCATCCCCAGATGGTGCACATCTCACTCATTACTATCATGGAAATTGAATATGTATGTGTGTGTGTGTCTGTCTGTCTGTCTCTCTCTGTCTCTCTCTCTCTCACACACACACACACCATGTTTGCTTTCTGCTCCGTAAACATTCTTAAGTGAAGCAAATCCTAAGACCGTCATCCAAAATTTATTCACATCCACAGCCTTTTTCATGTTGTCACTTTGTACCTTAAAAACAGGCAGCTTTCCTACTTTAAAGGTTGAGAATGTCTAGGTCTGAGACCTTTAGCACCAAACAAGTTGCTTAATTACCTAGCCTTTGCTCCAGTTATTTGGAATGCTTTGAGGATGATGGCTACTATATAAAGCTTCTATTCAGTAATGACTAATGGTATCATAATGTTTACCATGTTGTTATTGTACATGTCCCTATCATTTTGTTGTACTGAGTTTTGCCCTCATTTTTGAATTCTTGGGATTGTGCAGTTTATTACTGAATTATCCCAGTTAACTATGTAGTTTTTAAATACTGGCGTTTTCTGTCTACAATATTGTGTGTAAGAAGGGATACAGGTAGAATGAGGGAAGGGAGAGTATGAGGACTTAAATATGTAGATGTTTTTATGCCCATGAACTGCATCCTGAGAAAGCAGGAAAGGGTCAAGTGATAACTTGGCTAGAAAATGCTTTCTTGCCCAAGAATTTTACCAGTGCTTTATATTCCTTATTGTGTCTTGGAGCTTTAAAGGCTGTAGGTTGTGAGATAATAGGCTCAAAACCAAGTTTACTTCCTCTCTACTTGGAACCATTCTCCCTGATTATACCCCCAGTGGGGACTCTGGCTGTATGAAATTGAACTTGTGAAGGAGGCATCCTCCTTTTATCTTAAGAACCAGAAATAAGAAGAGAGTTTTAACAAACTCCGCACATTCTTATGAGTTTAATACATTTATGAAAGAATTACCAACTATAAGTTTGTGGTATCTGAGTTGGGTTTTTTTTTCCTTATTGTAATTTTATTTGTACTGCCTGTGTTGTCATAGGTTCCCTCCAGCTTTTTCAACTGTAGCAGTAAAGGTGCTCATCTTGAATTTGATTAATTTTGATATAGTTTTAAGCAGTGTCCTCCTCACCCCTCAAATTCACTTTAATTTCTACTTCTTTAAGAGATTTTAAAAATCTTCCTTAGAGCAATGTAATGACTACTATAATAGTGCTACATTATTTTGGAAGATCTGCATCAAAATGATACCTTGTGTTTCTTCTCTAACTACTGCTTTTCAAATGAATATTTTATCACAAAATAGCTTGATACTAGTAAATTGTGAAAAATTAAAGTAACTTACGAGCTAAATATGGCCATGGTAAATAACAGTTTTTATATTTTAGTATTCTGTCTATAGGATGAGTGATCATTGCTATTCACTCTTAATCTTTCATTTCTGAAATTTAACATTTCTTGTACATTAGAGGCCCATGAGGTATAGCATAACAACTGCTTCCTGATTAACACCTTTGCTGCAATTCCTTTTTTTTTTTTTTGGTGGTAAAGTGTTGTTTTGTTCTCTTTAAATACTTCACTTGAACCTTCTTGCCATATTCCTTTTTCTTTTTAATTAAAAATATAGATGCATCATTTGAACCTTCTGTAGCATTGGCAAGCCTTGTGCAGCATATTCCTCTTCAGATGATTACAGTTCTCATCAGGAGCCTTACTACGGATCCAAATGTAAAAGATGCAAGTATGACCCAAGCCCTTTGCAGGTACTTCTTCATGACGCTATAGATGGTAATTGTAGATTTGGGAAGAGGAGGTATTTTGTTGTATTTTGAGAGTAATGAAAAATGACAGATGTGTTTAAAACTAAAGTCATGGAATTAAATATATGTTCTCCAAATTAATTAGAATGAATTATTTGCCTTATAGTCTCTACAGGCATACCAGTAATTCACAAAGCCATTTACTTTTTTTAATTTCCAAAATATACACACATATACCCTTATTGTACAGTCAGAAGTTGGTTTGATTATCAGTATACAGTATTTTACTAATTTCTTTGCTCATTATTGTTTCCTGCAACCTATTCTTTTTTTTTTTTTTTTTTTTTTTTTTTTTTTTGCTTAGTAAGTGCATACTTTACTTTCTCTTTCAGCCAGGCACAATGGTTAATACACTCTTCACCCTTATCTATTTGAAATTTATTTATTTATTTATTTTTGTCTTCTAGTATTTTGTTTTCTTTCATTCTTTTTTTTGAGATAGAGTCTCACTCTGTTGCCTGAGCTAGAGTGCTGTGGCATCAGCCTAGTTCACTGCAACCTCAAACTTCTGGGCTCAAGCAATCCTTCTGGCTCAGCCTCCTGAGTAGCTGGGACTACAAGCATGTGCCACTATGCCCGGCTAATTTTTCCCATATGTTTTTAGTTGTCCAGCTAATTTCTTTCTATTTTTAGTCGAGATGGGATCTCACTCTTGCTCAGGCTGGTCTCAAACTCCAGAGCTCAAGCCATCCTCCCACCTTGGCCTCCCAGAGTGCTAGGATTATAGGTGTGAGCCACCACTCCCAGCCTGTCTTCTAGTCTTAAATAGATGATTTGGCATGGTACAGAATTGTAATTTGATAGCCATTTTCTCTTAGGATTTTGAAAATAATATTGCATTGTCTTTGAACATCTATTTTTACTGATGAGAAGTTATCTGTCATTCTGATTAACATTCCTTTTTGAGTGGTCAGGCTTTTCTGGTAACTTTTCTGTTTTTATCTTTAAAGTCTTACAGTTTTACACTTATATTTCTAGGTATAACTTTTGTACTTTTCTTCAATCATTCATTTATTCAAATCACATTTATTTGAGCCCTTGCCTTGAGTGCCAGGCAGTGTTCAAAAAATCCTTTAACAAACCGATAAAAATATCTACCTTCTTGGGCTTACTTTCTAAATGGGGAGGCAGATAATAAACTAATAACATATTTCACTGATTCTACTATGCCTTTTAATTTCAAAGATGTTCAGATGTGGAAATGCCCAGTCATTTGTGTTCTAGTTAAATTAGCATGACTTTTCTTGCTTTAATGGTACATAAGCTAATTATGCATCTTAAAATTGATTTGATTAAATGTGAGAGGTAAAATAATTTAGGATGTTAGATAGTGATAAGTGTTTCAGGTGGAAAAAA